TTGCCAACTGAGCTAACAGAGCGCCGTGTTGGGTATTGCTGTGCACGTGAAAGGTTGAACCGACGTGAGCATCACAGTTTACCCCGAGTTCAATTTCCCTGAGAGTTTTGCGGCACTTGCAGCACAATTAGGTCAAAATATAAGAGCCGATGGTCAGAAGTATCACTAGAGAGTAACATACAAAGAAAAGAAAGAGGCGAGAGGAGGAAGATAGATGTTTGATATAAAAGAAGGAGCAAACACACCAGAGCACCAGCCAACCGCCCACTCGTGAGAGTTTTTACGGCACTTGCAACACAATTAGGTCAAAATATAAGAGCCGATGATCAGAGGTATTACTAGAGAGTAACACACAAAGAAAAGAAGGAGGAGAGATGAGGACGATAGATCTAGATGTTTGATAGTAGAGAGGGAGCAAACCACACCAGAGCGCCCGCCAACCGCCCACTGCGACAAGAGTGCGTCGTTGTTAATTGAGGGCGGGGGTGAAACGTCACAGGAAAACTGGTGACTACGATGATAAAATGAGCCTAACCTTCCTTGTTATACGATTACAGAATATATATACAACGTAATAGTCTGAGATCACGAACATTCCTAAGTCAATATTGCAGAATATATGGTCGCTTTTAATTTAAGCACAAGGGGCTATCCCGAAAATTGCTGTTTTGAGAAAATTAAAGTTTAAGTTCTTGGACCCTTGTTCATTTTCTTTAAAAGACCAGGAGAGTTTTGTCTGTAACCAAACAAATATACACACCAATGAAACCAAACGTCTCGTTAAGGTAGGGCAATGCCCACTTTTGGTGTAGGTCAAGATTTCGTTTTTTAAAAACCGTAATCTGGGTTAGCCCGCTTGTCCTTAAAAGCGACAATTTAACGTAAAACTAATAGTCTGAGATCAGGAGCATTCCTTATGACAGAAGTACAGAATATATATATAACGTCATAGTCTGACACCGAGAACATCCTTTCAGCCAGTCAGAGGCAAAGCAAAGATTCTCTACACGATCTTTGGGCAAAGTTAACATGTCACCACGATGCTAAAATTGCGATCTCAGTTACTTGTATATATAACACTAGCTGGGGCCCCTTTCGATGAAAGGAGTAAAAAAAAAATCGAGTCATTGTGGAACAGTACACACGGCTTGTGAACGGAAACCTCACTTGTTGACAAAGTCGTCTTAGAAGATGGACTTTCCCAAGATTAGATCTAAACGGAACTAATGAAAAACTGAAAATTAAACTACAGTGACTTCAGACTCCTCAGTAAAACTGTGCACCCTTTCAATGATTCTGAACCGCCGTCAATTTGTCCAAATTGGAAAGTTAAGTGGTTCCGAAGTTTTAGGCGGCAAAAGTGACGAACTTTCACAAATAGAATATATATATATAGATTACAGAATATATATATAGATTACAGAATATATATATATATAGATTACAGAATATATAACGTCATAGTCTGACACCAAGAACTTCCTTCCAGTCAGTCAGAGGCAAAGCAAAGATTCTCTACACGATCATTGGGCAAAGATAACATGTCACCTCGATGCTAAAATAGCTATCTCAGTTACATGTCATATATTATATATAATATTATTATGTCGTTCTCGCGCAAAATCAAACTGGAGAAGAACTGGCCTTTTGGAACATGACGTCCACTTTGTGAGAGACTGTTTGGTGAACACATGGGCGTGGCATGTCTCCTCTATACATTTGTAGTTCTATTCTTCTCTCAGAGATTGGACTTTTTTATTTTTTAAATTGATGTAGGTACAATGAATTCCTACGGCCTCTTCGACCAAATTTAGATCATTTAGGAGGCGGGCTTCCGGCCCTATCTGTCGCGGCCAACCCGGGCTGAGAGTGGGAATACAACATTCCAGAAGAAAGACCGAGATACTTGATACAAATTTCTCTCCATTCGGGAATTGAACTGGTATCTCCTGCCAAAGCACTACACCATACAAGGCATTAGACGCCTCAACGCTTGAGCATATGTGTGGGAGCCTAAAGAGAGGTACCAAAAGTCGCCACAGACCATTTTGAGCTACAGGCTGATTTTGACCAAAAATTACTTTTTTAAAAACCAAAATGTGTTTTTTTCCCCAAATGATAGTTCCACCATTTTTTAACAATGTGTTAAAAGAGTTTTCATTGATTTGACTTCTAAATATGTTATTTTGAATTATTTTGAGGTAAGGGTATGTTTTAAAAAAGATAATGAAAACTGCTTTTAAAAGGTGTTAAAATCTATTGTTGAAGCACGTTTTCTCTTCCCCGCTATGTTTTATCATTGAATTCCATTCATGATATTGAGGTCAACTGAATGCCCAACTGGAAAGGAATTTTCCATGAATAAATACATTAGAAACAATTGAATCATCGGGGTTTTTTTTTTTTCATTTATGCATGAGTTCTAAATTTAAAAGCTAATTTTCTCTAAATTAGGTCTTTATACCCTACCTCGCAAAATGTGCAATATTTTCAAAAACTACTTGAGATATCTCAAAAATAAAAAACCCCACTGTGTTCAGCATTGAATGTCCTATTAAGTACAACTCTTTACTCAAAATGATTAAAATCTCGCTAATGGTACCTTTCTTTAGGCACACACACAAAATTATAAAGGAGCCTGCAGACTGTGTGGTAAGTAAAAGTTTTACGGCACTTGCAACACGAATAGGTCGAATGAGTGCCAAAGATTAGAAATGTTACAAGAAGGAAACACAGAACACTAGGAAAAGAGATCTTGACGATAGATGTTTGATTTACAATCGAAGGAATGAACCACATCAGAGCACCCGCCAACCACTCACGGTATCTGCTCAACCATGAAGGGAGTGCTGACCTTTGACCTGTTACTGTTGTACTGTGGGGGCTCTCGTGGCCTAGAGGTTATGGTGTTAGCCTCTCATTCAATACATCCCGGGTTCCAATCGGGACAGCGACGGAAACATTTTCTTCTCTAAAATTGTCTTCTTTCACCTCCTTTCCTGCTCTCTAGCAATGTTCTGTCGTCAGCTTTCGTCTCCACTTTCTGCCCCCATCCCCTCACTTCCTTTGCCCCCTCTACTGGGCTCCTGGCTCTCCTCTACTGGGCTCCTGGCTCTCCTCTACTGGGCTCCTGGCTTTCCTCTACTGGGCTCCTGGCTCTTCCAGCAACCTTTCTACTGCTACTCGCCGGCGCCTTCTTACTGCTGTCTTTCAGCCACACCTCTGATGTTCTCGTATAAGGGCGAACAATCTCGGAGGTCCGTGTGCAAGTTGCGCACGTTAGAGATCCCTTGGTTTTCCAAAATCGATAAGAGTAGGCTTTGGCCCCCACCTGGACAAAATTCAAAATTTCCTACTTACTGAAAATGTTTATTGTGTCCCGCGCGCAAATATGACCTTATAGGGTTGCGAGCGCCGTAAAACACTTACCAAAATAATAAATAATAAAATAACCCCCACCCCCAACCTACTTTGGACACGTAGGTTTACTTGTTGGAAGTAGAAAGATTCAATATTTTAGCAAAAAGTTATGTAATCTCTTCCCACCCCCCTCTCCCTACTTTGTTTTGAAACGGTGCTAGAGTCTACCCCCGCCCCCAAACCACCCCCATAAAAAATAATAAAAGAAATGATGATGGCATTAATATGATGAGTTTTTTCCACTATTAATGCTTATTATTATTATTTTATTATTATTATTATCTTCATCATCATCATCATCCGAGAACGAGGAAGAAGAAGAATCGTCACCATCAATCTTTATTCATCAATTCCGGGCACCAAACATGTTTCCCCATGTAGGTCGGTGCCGGCTGTGAATGGCATTGCTCCACAGTCCGGAAGGAAGAGTGACAAGGCAATTGGGGGGCAACGGGGCGCAATATGAGGGTGTGTCTGATTAGCCGCCTCATAATCGATGCAAGGTGACGTCATCACATCGCCGTTCTCGTTCCCCCCGTGTGCTGGAATCTTGTACGCTCAGATGTTGTGGGATTCCAGCCGCAATTACAATAACAACAGGCCCTGAACCGTCGCTTGGTGGAGGGAGCCAATCTAATTGGAGGTCTTCCCTGTACCTTGGCGTGACTTTGGAGTTCTGTGTAGTGAAGCCGTACACTTGATTGGGTTGGTCGTGAATTAAAACCTCGTCTTTTCGCCGCCCATTCTCTTTTCATCACCGATGGCTACTACACTACCTATACTTTATCTGACCGTCTGGGCTACTACTATTTCGCACGTTCCGCCAAGATAGCCTGACCAAACTGATGTGAACAGTGGAGGGATAATACCACACCTGGTCCACGCCCCCCCCCACCCGCCCCCGCCCCCGCCCCCTCAGCAACCTTGTCCCAGGTAACTATGAAATCGATTTTAGATTACCTGTGATGGCTTGAATATTTACACCTGGATACGAAACTGCAAGTTCAGGTGCAAATATAAGTAAACTTTTCATCATCACACAGGAGGGTACCCCCGGACTGTCTCGTTTCAGTAAACAGGAGACAGAGCGGAGAATTCTCTCTAACTGAACGCCGAAACACGAAAGAAAACCTTTGGGCCTCAATAAGTGGCCCTTGATATCTTTTCGATCTGTTGGTCTGGCCTGGCCGCGACACGGGAGAGCGCACACACAGCCGCCAGCCGGGAGCGGAACCTGGGGTCACGGAGCGAGAGAGCTGCAGAACGAAGGGAGTTTTGTTAGAGCTCTGAAACCTGGGAGGTCAGGTGCGCCAAAGTATTTTCTCCAATATCGCAACATAGCCTGAAAAGGAACACAGATGAAGACTACAATGTATATAATATTCATTTAATGGATGTTTAAGGATAAAAAAGTAGACGTAACCGCTGTGTTGTTTAGTATTCTTTTTACGGAAACCGGTACGAAAATCCCTTCGTACTGAGAAAGCAAGAGAGAGAAGCCCGTGAAGTGCTGAAGGTCTCCGCGAGACGGGCGCGCGGCTTAGCCTGGCTGGATACCGCTGCGCGCTGCGTCGTGCGTGTGTGTCTGTGTGTGTCTGTGTGTGTGTGCGCACGACGGCAGTGTGTTTGCCTGGGTCTCGCGCGCACCGCTACGTTACCCTGGTGGGTTTACCGGAGTCGGAAAACATTCCTCGGCGAACGTGTACTATTCTGTGGGATTCTGTGTGAGGTAAATAACTACATTTTGTTTGTTTGTGTTGCGTTTCTTCGACTCTAAGTTAAAACTTGTGATTCAGTTTGATGCTTGAAGCAGTTTGTACCGACTTCTGTTCCCGTAAGTAGTTTGTTTTGGTGTATAGAGAACCACCACTTGTCTCCAGTAGTCGGGACTTCCCCCAGCCCCAGGCCCCAGGTCTCAGCGAGCGTATTCTCCTCACTAGTCTCGGGGACCAGTTCTCTAGTTCTAGGCGAGGCCAGGGTTAGTTTTTTGAGTGTTCGCTCAGTTCTTTTTGTATCCCTGGCCTACCCCGAGCCGTGCTTGGAGCAAACACGTAAAGTAGGCTAAATGGTGTTTTTTGGTTGTTGAGTAAGACTGCTCGTTGTCGGTGTATTGTTTTTGTAAACGGAACAGTCGTCTTAAATTGTGTGATTCTTTGGTTGTCAATATAAACAGTTGTTTAGTAGCCTACTATCTAGATATATAGGTGGTTAGCGAATGTGTTACAACGGAGCCCTGCTGGATCTACCTGTCAGTCCAGCGACCTCAACGGTTCGCCTTTTTTTCCTGTTTCTTCACCCGAGTCTTAGCCACAGCCTTTTTTGAGCCGCAGGGTCGCTATCCAACTTATTTGAAAAAACGATGTTGTTAAAACGGCGGATTGTTAATAAGTCTTGTTGCAGCGTGATCAAAAACAGTTTCCTTTATCGCTGCTTAAGTCTGTGGTTTCAGCGCAGGTTTCCGAGCTTAGGTTGGGGCCCAGGTGAAAAATGTTGCTGCGTTTTTTTGGGTGTTTTTTTAGATAATTATTTTTTAGGTTACCCTGGGCTAAATTAGTAATAATGGCAACTAGATTCTCTAATTAAACTAATTTTATAGTAATAATAATTATGATAATGTGTAATAATATCAGAAGCAATAATAACAATGATAATAATCTAGGAGAGTCGTCCAGTTGATGAACAGAAAAATAATGAATATTGTTGATTTAATAGTTTAATTATTAAAAATAAACAATATTTAATTTAAAGTAATAAAAGAATGATTTTAATAGTAGGCCTTGTAGTAGAAAATCGGTTAGCCTATAGATTTAATGATAGTATAACAATTCAATGATAATGACTATCTCAAAAATAACAATAATAATAATATGAAAATGTAATAACAATTAATAATAATAATGATAATGATGGTGATAATAAAATTGTATTATAATAATAATTTTATAATAATTATACTATAATAATTAATACAATAATGATAGTGATGGTGATAATAAAATAGTAATCGTAAATCGTAATAATTTTATAATAAACATACAATAATAAAATAATAATGATACAAATAATAATAATAATAAAAATAATGGTCCAACAACTCTAGTAGCCGTACAATGAAAACAATAATAGAACAATAATAACAACAATAATGATAATAATGACAATAATGATAATAATTACTCTACTCGATGCAACTACTACCAATGTAATTTCCGTTTTTAATTCAAGAGGCTAAAACTAAAACTTCATTTTTATTTAATTTTTGTCTCAAAAGATTCTTTGGGGTTTTCTGTCTTTAAGGTCATATTTAAAAACATCATCTCAAAAATGTACCCCCAAAAAGTCTATTAGTAGGCTGTACAGGTAATGAACTGTGCTGTGGCGTCAGATATCTTATAATTTGTTTTGTGGATGTTAGAATAAAACTGTCAATAAATTTAAGTTTCTCATCAGATTATGTTCAGAACGTGCACACAACTTTTTTTACTTACTGTATTTTAATTGACTGAAAACAAACTATTTTGATTTAATGAAATCTGTAGACCCTATGAGACATTGACTTTGAGTCGTCTTTGATGTTTACATAGACACTAACATTTGTGTAATTTGATATTTATCTATCAAGGTATTCATAAGCCTTAGAAGTTGACAGTTTATAGATATCGGATGAGGGCTTTGAATGTACAGCACTTTTGAAGTGAGAAAAAATACAGTTTGATGACTGTTTGGTTTTCTGTTTGCTGTTGGTATATTATATAATATATATATATATAAGTGTGTGACAGGTTGTTTGTCCTTGAGCACCTAAAATTTTCTAAATTTTTGCTTTTTGTTCTGTTCTTGTTCTGTTTTTCTTTGATGTGTACAAAAATCTTACAGTCTGTTCTGCTTTTTGCTATTTGTCGTATAGAAATAAACAGATGTTTGTTCAAGAATCGACAATTTGACTAACTTGTGGTACTATGGGATTACTTTCATGGTTGCAGAAAAAAAAAGAAAGCAAGCTACGTTAAAAGTAAACATTCTGATTTTCAATATAATATTCGGAAGAAAAAAAAGAAAAGAAATTTAACAATTATGATTTACTGAATTGTATCAATGTGTCTTCTCACACTATGACTCTTTGATAAATTTATCAGCTTTGGTTCTAATTATTCTGAAGGAAAGGATAAGAGGATGGATGAGAGGAAGAGAGACTGTACAGTTTTATAGAACCTGAGAACTGACAAATCTTTTCCTCTTTTCATGCACAGAGAAGTAAACAAATGGAAATGTAGAAATGTTCCTATAAGGTGCTCCTAAAGGGAATTCTTCCTAATCCTTACTTTCAATTTAAAAAGTTTAAAAAAACCCTAAAACTACAGAAACCCGCACAAACCGAATATTTGACATTGTAGTGAACATAATATCATATTGTATCTAAATCACTGCTTCTTTTCTGTGAAAAATTATTCACTTTCCTTAAAGCTCAGGAAAAATTAATTTCATTGCTAGGTGTGAATTTTGAATGATACTTCAGTAACTTATTTTTTTAAAGGGAGATAAAGTATCTGATAAAGGCCTGGCTTTTTTTAATGGTTTTTAATTCTTCACTTTTGACTTTTGAGTTTACCACAGTAAAACAGGCATTGCATAACATGCACGTACTTAATGTTTTGTTTGTTGTTTTTTTATTTTCAGAAAATGTTGAGAACAGATACATAAACGATAACAGACGCACCGTTATAGTTGAGACAGTTTTTGTGTGCAGTCAACATTTCACTTCTCAAAAAGGCTTTATCATCATCCGTCTCCTGCATCTGCTCTGCTTGGATATTTGGATATTTTTTCTTCCCGTGGATGATTGGATTACCTTCCCCATGAGGTCGCTGGCAGACTATGCCGGAGCAGCACACTGGTCAAGTGTGTCATTTGTGGTTTGAAGAATCTACACATTTTACTACTACACAGCACCAGGGTTATTTGCCGGCATGGTCAGATAGCCCCGGGCACAACCATGGTTGCTGCTGGCGGTACGACGACGAGTGGCTTCCGTCTGGCTGCTCACGCGATGGCTGCGTCAACAAAACAAACGTGTGCGCGCATCCTGTGCGTGCTGGTGGTGCTGTGTACACTGACCGCTGGTCAGCTGGAGCAGTACGACCTGACACTCACTGTCCGCGAAGACGTGAGCATCGGCACTGTGGTGGGCGTGGTGGAGGGGGACAAATACAGCCCGCCCTACTCTCGGCTCATCAAGAACCCGGCCACAGATAACATGACCCTGAGCAGCTTCGACGTCGATCTGTCCAACGGCCGCATCACCACCAAAGACACGCTGGACAGGGAGGAGCGGGAGAAACACACCATCATCATCAGCACCTTCTCCCAACCCACGCAGCTGGTCATCGTGGAGGTCCGACTGCTGGACATCAACGACATCACCCCCACCTTCATCAATCCCAGCCTGCTGGCCAGTATCCCGGAGTCGGCCCCCAGGACCCACAAGATCGCGCTGGGGAGCGTGCGAGACGAAGACCTGGGAGACAACTCCACCCAGACTGTGGAGATTGTGTCCGGCAATGATGGGAATACGTTTTTCCTGCAGATCAAGAATAGCAGTAATGTGGATAAAATTCTGGATTTAGTTGTGAACACGGATCACTTAGATTTTGAGGGGAAGAAAGTGTACAATTTGGTGATTCGCGCCACGGATGGGGGCGGGCGTTCGTCGGACATGCAGGTCACTATTCGAATCCTGGATACAAATGATAACGAGCCGATTTTCAACAACAGCAAATATTCGGCTCGTGTGGCGGAGAACGTGACTGTGGGGACGTCCATCATCCAGGTGGAGGCCACGGACAGCGACTCGGAGGAGAACAGCCGGATCACGTACTCCATTGACCCCAAGACCGACCCCGAGGAGTATTTCTCCATCGACCCCCGGACGGGCTGGGTCAAAGTGAGGAAACCGCTGGACTTTGAGACGAAGCCTCAGTTTGTGCTGACCCTGGAGGCCACGGACAGCGGGAGTCCCCCACTCAGCGGCAGCACGGGTCTGGACATCATCGTCGTCAACATCAACGAGCAGCCCGCCAACATCTCCATGACCTTCAAGCCAGACTTCCGCAACGGTCATGTGTCAGAGGACACACCCGTGGACACGGTGGTCGCCGTGGTAACCATCGATGACCCGGACACAGACGTGGTGAGGAACGTGGAGGTGTCACTGTACGGTGGAGAGGGCTACTTCCAGCTGATCAAGACGAACCGTCTGGAGGGGAACGAGCTGGACCTGGTGGTTCTGGACTCGCTGGACAGGGAGACGGTCCCGGCCTATGAGATGACCATCGTGGTCACTGACGTAGGCACGCCCCCGCTCAGCGCCAACAGAGAGTTTCGGATCACTGTGGAGGACGTGAACGACAACGACCCGGTGTTCCTGCGCTCCAAATACTCGGCCGACGTTGAGGAGACGGCAGAGATCGGCAAGTCTGTCCTCAAAGTGTCCGCCACGGACGATGACTTCGGGGACAACGCACGGATTACCTACCGCATCCAGGACGGATCGTCGCACATGGGCTGGTTCACTGTGGATTCTAGCACCGGGGTGGTCACGACTCGAGCCTCTGTGGATTGTGAGCTCAGTCCCCAGCTCCTGGTCATCGTGGCCACCGACGGCGGGAACCCACCCAGAATGGCCACTGCCCAGGTCTCCATCAGCATTCGTGACGTCAACGATAAGGAGCCGGAGTTTGAAACCAGTTTCTACAGTATAAAAATCGCGGAGGATAGGAGAGTAGGAGATTGTGTCTTAACTGTAAGTACGAGTTACTTGGTTTCATTTTAGGAACACTCTGTGTGGCTGTGTAAGCAAAGATGTGTGTGTGTGTGTCCTGTGTCGTTTTCTTGTGTGAATCAACAATTCTGTCTGTCAGTTTCTCTACCTGGTGTTTTCTTGTTCTTGTTTCCTGCCTTCTATCTGATTGTCCCTGTCACGCCTTGTCCTGTTTTGTTTGTGTTTTTTCTGTGACCAGCAGATGATGACGTGGTTATGGTGTCTTCCTATGTGTTTTCTCTGTGGATTACGTTACGGATAATTCAGCGTTGTGAAACATGTGCGCAAATGTGGTAGCGATTCTGCCAGGAGCGTCGATGATGTATTTCCTTGCGTGAGTGGATTTACGAATAGCTGAAGTGATTAGTTACCCGTTGCTTTAAAAAAAAAAGAATGAAACAATAGTAAACAGAACGATCCCATGCCTGGTAGATTTCTAATTGTTGCTAACTTTCTGCGTCGTGTGAGGCTGTGCCGCAAAGCCGTGTCTTGCTCGTCCTGTCTCTCTCTCTCTCTCTCTCTCTCTCTCTCTCTCTCTCTGGTCTG